GTATGAGTTGTTGAGTGATGGCCTCCTCATCCTTATCCTTATCCTCTTTCTTGATATTAATTTTCTTGGTGTTGGTGTTGTTTTTGTTAGTTGCCATGATCATTGTTTCCTCTTCTTTAAACTTTGCCTCTACCTTCTCCTCTCTCCTTTCGGTGTCGAGTGATTTTTAGTTGGGACCTTCAATGCTTGCTTCTTTTCTCTTATTGATTAATTTTTTGCTCCTGAACCAAGCAAAGAGCTCTGTAACTCATCAATTGAAAGTGCATCAATATCTTTTGATTCTTTTATAGAGCATACAATAAAATTAAATTTTGGTATCATTGATCGAAGAATCTTTTCAATAATGAAGACGTCTTCTAGTTTCTCTTTATGGATCCTCATCTTGTCGGTGATTATCATCATTCTTGTGAACAAATATATAACTAACTCGCTTGACTTCATATGTAAAGTCTCAAATTCGATACGAAGTCCTTGAAGTTACACCAGCTTTTCCTTTGCGTTCTTGTAGAACGATCTTGTATGATTAGCCTATTCTAGAAATCATTCTATCTAGGAAGTAGATCATTGGTCTCTTATCTATTGGGGTTAATTTCCTAAATAGTAGTTGTCACTATAATTTAGAGATTTATATGTTTTTCCTAAAGAAGCGACTTAGGAAAAGATATTTACCTACCAGACTTTGCCTTTGCGTTCTCGAGAAAGATCTTGTATGATTAGCTTATTATTTAAGAAGTATATCATTAGTCTCTTAAGTATTTGGGATTAATTTCCTAGATATTAGTTGTCACTATAAGTTAGAGATTTATAAGTTTTTCTTGAAGACGCATATTAAGAAAGGATGTTTGCCTATAAATATGTACAGTCTTTCCTCAATATATAGCTTGAATAAAATATTTTTCTCTCATAGAAACTTTCATAGTATCAAAGCCGAGTTCTTTTATTCAGCTATTTGTTATCCAGATTGACAATCTATTGCTTAATCCTAAAAAATCTTTATTCTAGTATCCTGTCTTTGAAGCCATCAAACAATGAGTAATACTCGTCGTTAGTGGTTTTACCCATAAAGGTATAACTCTTTATGCAAAAAATACAAATACTTGGATGCTTGCCTCTTGGGCATTTGGCCATATGATAAGTAACTCGTCTATGTTTTCAACCTATACTCCTTGTCACAAGAATTTCAAAGTTAAAGTAGCAAATGGTACCTTTTCTCCCGTTATTGAAAAAGGCTTAATCCATCTATCAAATGAGATTTCTTTGAATTTTATTCTTTATGTACCAAATCTTGCTTGTCACTTGATCTCTATTAGCAAGATTACCAATGAGCTTAATTGTATTGCTTGTCTTTTTTTATAACTCTTGGATAATGTAGGACCTAGAATCAAAGAGGATGATTGGCAATGCTAGATAAGAAGGTGGACTCTACTATTTTAGGGATGACAAATACGTGACTAAGCAAGCTACTATGGTTGAGAATGACTATACTTCGCTCCTAATAATAATACAATAATGTTATGGCATCCTAGGTTAGGACATCCCAACTTTTATTATCTCAAACATCTCGTTTCCAAGGTTATTTATCAATAAAAATCCTAGTTCTTTCAGTTGTGAAATTTATCATCTTGCTAAACATACTCATACATCCTTCCCAATCCAACCATACCAAGAGTCTCGTCCATTTTGCTTAATTCATAGTGACATATGTGGACCCTCTAATGTAAAACATATCTATGATATGTAGTGTTTCATCACCTTTATCGATGAACATACTTGAGTTTGTTGGGTTTATCTACTTAAAGAAAAATATGAGATTGCAAAAACATTTCAAACTTTTCATTCAATGACAAAAACCCAATTTCACATCTTTATCCAAATATTAAGATCCGACAATGAAAAAAATATTTTAATGTAGTTCTTGGACACTACCTTCAAACTAATGGAATAATCCATCAAAGTTCATGTCAAGACATACCTTAGTAGAATGGTGTGGCTGAAAAAAATTATCACCTCTTTGAAGTTGTTAGAGCCTTAATGTTTACCACGTATGTCCTAAAATATCTTTTAGGGGAAACTGTTCCAATAGCCTCTTATCTCATAAATAGAATGCTATCTCGAGTTCTCAAATTTGACTTCCCTTTGTCAACTTTATAGAAAACCTACCTAACCTTTCGCTTTATTTCCTCCATACCACTTAAGACTTTTGATTGTATAGCTTTTGTACACGTTCAAAATCATTCTAAACTAGATCAAAATTAGTCAAACGTGTCTTCGTTGGGTATTCTCCCACTCAACATAGGTATAAGTGTTATTCTTCATCACTTCGTTATGTTTTTGTGTCCATGAATGTCTCTTTTTTGAGTCTCAATCTTTTTTCTAGAATACTTATCTTCAAGGGGAGAGCTTAGAAATAGATAAGTCATGGGATATACTTGAAACAGTAATCCCTATTCCTATTTCCTTTTTCAATTTCAACTCCAATTCCTAATATTGAATCCGTGTTTCCCTCTTCAATTCTAACCCCAATCCTTAATATTGAATCTCGACCTATTATGCCACTTAATAGACACAAGAAAACATTAGAAACATGGGAGATAACTCCCATCCACAATTAATTATTTATTCACATAGGAAATATTCTCAAAAGGGAGAGAACCCCGAAACTCAATATGGTCGAGAGTTTGACCAGAATCCGAGTCCCGTTACCGAAGGTACTAGTGAATTTATTCAGCATGATATTGAGCTTTAAAATCATATTTTAGACCTGGATATTCGAATTGCTCATAGAAAAGGAACTAGGTCTTATACCTAACATCCTATATCTAGGTTTGTCTATTATGAAAGGTCGTATCTTGAATTTCATGCTTTAACTACTTCATTATCTAGAATAGAGGTACCAAAAAATACAAGAAGCACTTGTCGACCCGAAGTGATGAGCAACTATTCAAGAAGAAATATGCGTCTTTAACAAAAGTGGCACATGAGAGTGGGTTATAAGTAGGTTCTTTTAGTGACTTTCAATGCCGATGGTAGCATCGGTCCATACAAAGCTAGGCTTATGGCCAAAGGCTCTACTCGGACATATGGAAATGACTATCAAGAGACCTTTGCTCCAAGTGGCCAAGTTAAATACAATAAAAGTTCTTCTCTCCTTAGCTTCGTAATTTTAATTAGCCACTACAACAATTGGATGCAAAGAATGCATTCCTAAATGGTAACTTACATGAGGAAGTCTATATGGATGCACCTTTTGGATTTGAAAGAAAGGAGAAGGTAGTATGTAGATTGAAAAAAAATCTCTTTATGGGTTGAAATAGTCTCCTAGAGAGTGGTTTGAAAATTTTACTCAAGTTATCAAGAGTAGGGGTTTTGTTTAAGCATAATCTGATCACACATTGTTTTACAAGCACTCTAAAGATGAAAAAATAGCCATTCTTATAGTATATGTGGATGATATTATCCTAACAGGAGATGATCATATAGAATTAACTTTTTTAAAAAGTACTTAGCGAAGCATTTGGATTGAAAGACTTGGGGGCTCTAAGATACTTCCTTGGTATGGAAGTTGCTAGAAGAAAATTAGAGATTACAATAAAACAATGAAAGTATATACTTGATCTTTTTCAAGATACAAGTATGTTGGGTGGTAGACCAACTGAGACACCTATTGATGCAAATACTATGTTAGATATTGAAGGAGGTAGAGAAGTTGATCGAGAACATTATTAAAGGCTTGTAGAGAGGTTGATTTATTTGTCACACATAATACCGGACATTGCTTTTCTAGTAAATGTGATTAGTTAATTTATGCATTCATCTAATAAACATTTTAATGCAGCTTATAGAATTTTGAGGTATTTAAAGAATACTCTTAGTAGGGGTTTATTCTTTAGGAAAGGTGAACATAGAACGATAAAAGTTTATAAAGATGTAGATCAGGCGGGTTCTCCCCAGGATAAAAGGTTAACTTCGGTTATTGCATATATGTTTGGGCTAATCTTGTAACTTGAAGAAGTAACTCGTAGTTGTTAGAAGCGAGTGTAGAAGTCGAGTTTCGAGCTTTACTTCAATGTATTTGTGAAGGAATATGGCTAGGGAGATTGCTTAGTGAACCGAAAATATCTAACGACTTTCCTATGAACTCGTATTGTGATAATAAGGCAGCAGTATGTATAGCTCAAAATCCTATCCATCATGATCGAATAAAACACATAGAAGTTGATTGACACTTCATCAAAGAGAAGATTAACGAGTGAAAGTGTTTGCATGGTTTATATCCTTACTAAAATTCAGAAAGCTAATATTCTAACTAAAAGCTTGCATAAACCAAGCTTTGAAGATTTAGTAAGCAAGATGGGAATAATTAACATACATGCCCTAGCTTGAGTGAGAGCATAGAAAGATCTTGTATGATTAGCCTATTCTAAAAATCATTTTATTTTAGGAAGCGGATCATTAGTCTCCTAAGTATCTGGAGTTAATTTCCTAAATAGTAGTTGTCACTATAATTTAGAGATTTATATGTTTTTCCTAAAGAAGCAGATTAGGAAAAGATCTTTACCTATAAATATGTAGAATCTTACCTCAATATATAGTTTCAATAAAATATTTTTCTCTCTTAGAAACTCTTAGTTCCCTTGATACTTCTTCTTCATGAAATCCTAAATCTACTTACAAGTATTTTTGGTAAGGATTGTCTCCAAAGTTGCTCGATCAATGGCTTGGAAAAGATAGTTCTTGGCCTTAAGATCCTTCAGCTTCAACGCTCCCAACTCCATTTTTTGCGTCTCCGACACTGTAACTTCGATTGCTGGCTCTACTACTCCAGATTCAACAACCTGCCAATACTCTTTGGATCTCAAGAAGTTCTCCGTTAGCATGCTCCAATGATCATAGTGACCATTTAAGTGTGGAATTGCTGGTTGCACAAAATTTTCTGAAGAAGTCATTATTCCGTGTGTTTTATGTTTTTATGCTTTCATGTCTCACTCTTTCACTGTCACTCAACTGCTGCTCTCGTGTGTTTCACTCTTACTAAGCTGCTGTTCTCTTATATCACTTTCAAGCTGTGATACCACTATTAAAAAAAGAGGAGGGAAAGACAATGAGAGAAACAAAGAGTTGAACTTTTATTATTGATGAATCTGATACGCATTCTCATAACAAGAAGTTGCTGTATTTATAGAGCTAAAACTAATGGATAAGTGCTTGAAACTAGGAAGTGCAGCCACCAACTCCTAATAAAATGCTCTCATGCAAAACCATGTTAGAGACTCCAATAAAACCACTTAAAGCTACTTATCCTCCTATAGACTAGGTAAATTTAAAACAAATTAAAACCACTAAAAACAAACTCCGATTGAGACGGACAACTAAGAAACTGAAAAATATTTATAACACGGGATGCAAAGTTGTGTGTGCCATGAAAGCAAATGGTTCACGTAAATAGAAGCTACGGATTTCTACGGTTTTCAACGATGAGAACCTGACCATCCGAGGCAGGCCATAAATTCCATAACCAAATAGGAAATTAATGTGATACGGCATACTCGACAACTGCAATTGCAAGGGATGGACCAACTTCATAACGGCAAAGGAAGCCGAATTTCCTTCGCGTTTAGCCAAGAATTCAACGACAAATTTCTCGAATGATTTCAATCCGTCGAAGAAATCGCTGACGAAATTAAGGTAGGGGAGATAAGTCCAGAGATATTTCCTTTGCCCGGAAAGGATTGAATTTTAAACTGCTTGCTTGATTGATATCGAGAAAATATAGGATTTTTCACAGTATCCCTTCTGGTAAGTTGGTGAGTCTTCGACTTCTTGGCCAGTCCACTGAGAAGTCAATTTCTTGCTCTTCTTCCTCACCGTAAATAGCTCCGACACGGAATAAGTTCAGTGAACTCACGTTTCTCTCACTTCAATCTCAGACAATGGATTTATTCTGTAACTGGTCAAGATCCAGTGCAAAATGCTTAGCCGAACAAGACCGAAAGAGAAAATTGACAATAGGCCCAAGTTTCATCTCGGCCTAGAATCTCTTGCCCTTAATTATAGCAAGAAAGGTCGACACGTATTATCTGCTATTCTTCCCATTTTCACCTGCTTTCTAGGGAGCAGTGATATTTTATTCTCTCTTAATAATCTCGTCTGTTAAATCAACGAATAATGCAAATCAAACGGTTGTGATTTTTCAGATACTAATTTCCGGAAAAAATAATTTCAATGAAATTAGCATTAACAATCCAACAAAAGCAAACTCCTATAAGAGAAATGATAAATAATTTAGTACAAATTGCCTCCATTGTTCTATAACATAGTAGGGGGTTTAATGACAAAAATTACTCATAATTATAGAGTTGTGGTAATTTAAAGTCTTTAGTATCAATTTGAATTATTTAATTCATAGAGGTTAATTTTTTTTCCGTTATTTTTTATGCTAAAAAAATTGATCGTTAATTTGAATACTTAATGACAAAAATTACCTTAAACTATTAGGATTATAGCAACGTAAGGTATTAATTATTAATTTAAATTATTTGGATCCTAAACTATTATGTTTTGAACAAATATTATTATTTTTTTATTTTCTTTGATGGTCAAAATGTTGACGAGTTCACTTGAATACATAAACAATTTTTTTTTTCTTAAAAAGAAAATTAATTTTTTTAAAAAAATATAAAAATATTTATTATCGACGACATATCATCCTAATATGTGATGATATGCTTTTTATGATGCCATTATTAATTAAAGTATTGTTGAGATTATTTCTATACCTCATGCTTTTCTATAGTAACATTTCATGTTTGATTCATTTTCATGTTTTTTTTCCCTCTTATTCACATGAAATCAAACATGAAATGTTGTTATAGAAAAACATAAATGTTAGAAGTGCAAATAAATAAATAAATAAATAATTGAAATGCTTAAACGATGTCGTTGAAACATTCAAGTTAATGGGTCAATGTTTTGACCATGAAAAATAATAGACAAATGATAACATTTGCTAAAAAAAAAATCAATTTGGGATCTAAATATCTCACATTGATAGTAAAGTTTAAATTATTATAATCTAATAGTTCAAAGGTATTTTTTTTTTAAATTTTTATCATTAAACTTATAGTAGGATGATCTTCACTTTCTGAAAATACACTTTATGACATCGTTACCTGGTATGAAGATTCTTTTAATATAGAAGGACCAATTATCCTTGAAAAGGATGCAGTTAGCCCTATATTAAAAAAAATATATAGATATTATAATACCTCTTATTAGTTTTATAAGTTCAAATTTGCCCTCTTTTGTAGCCAGGTACTTCCATATCTCTTGAAACTCGTTGAAACTTCTTTGATATATTTACTATAAAACAGTACTTTTGGAATATTTTGTAGTATGAAATTATTATTTAAATAGACTATGTGATTTTCTTAATTTAATTTTTATTTAATAATTTCGTTTAAATATAGAATTACTTATTAGCGTATATTGTTTTGCAGAATTTTCTTTGATGAAACATTGCTTTCCTTTTTATCCCATAGGCCATAGGTAGGATTTGGAATTTGGATGCTGTTCCATTCTCTAAAGAAAATGGATGCTGTCCACTTTTGGGCCCAAAGCCTTTGAACGTTATGCTTGTTTAGTTGTTTGTTTTCTATATTCATAAATAGTATTTTAATGGCAAAAAATACTTCTATATTATTATAATTTGACAATTTCATATTTTTATTATCAATTTACGTAATTTAAATATCAAAATATTAATTTTTGAGCAAATCTTATTCAAATTGTATTTTTTTCATTATTTATAACTGTCAACTTAGTTGAATGTTAATTTTTTTGTATTATTTTTTTTAGACGTTAAAAATGTTTTTCCTTCATTTTTCAAGAGATGTTATTTCTATTTAAAATCTTTACATATTAATTCCTTTGATTTTTCATAGTCAATCAAATTACTATTTGTGTATAATTCTTTTAATACACAAATATATATATATATATATATATATATATCCATTAAACAATAAACTTTTATAATTAATAAAATATAATATTTATTGGTTGAATTTGGTCAATTAATTTAACTTAAACTTTTCTTTTGTCATGCCAATAAATTTGTTCTTGTGATTGTCAATCATTAAATTTTAAATATAGCTGTATTTATTTATTTTTTTTATCTTCACATATTTTATAGGGTTTTGTATTCTTACAATTGATTCAAATATATAGTATGCATTTAAAATTTTTAGAGTCGAAACCATTTTTTAAACGTTTTAATTTAATTTAATTTTTTAAAGATAGGTTCAAAAAGTGAAAGTTTTTTTCGGAGAGAACAAAAAAAAAGTTTAATTAGTGATAAATTTAATAAAATTATTTATTTATTTATATGTAAATGAGTGAAAAAATAATCTCTCTTGAAAAATGAAGGAAAATAATTTTTAATATATATTTTTAAAATTAATAGCGAAAGAAATTCACAGCAAAAAAATAAAAATTAAAAATTAACGGTAAACTCAAATAACGAAGAAAATACGATTGGATAACATTTGCCTAAAAATCGATATTTTATGATTCAAATTACATAAATTAATAATGAAGATTTAAAATTGCAAGATTGCAATAGAACGGAGGCAATTTTTGCCATTAAACTACAATAGTAATTTTTTTTTTAAAGCTTTTATAAATAGTCTTTTATAGTTTGGGATTGATTGTATTAAGTTTTATTGGTATTTTAATCAATGAAAGCTTTTTTTTTTTTCTTTTTTTTTTAAAGAAGAAACTTCATAGTAACTCACAAAAATTATTTACACAAGTTAAAGGATAGTACTTGAATTCAAAACTTTTTATTTTTTTTCACCTAAGTATCTCTATTCTACATTGGAGATATAATTAATTATATTCAGAAGGAGAGTGATAAATTTTAACATCTCCTAATAAATACAATTTCAAAATTCGAATCTTAAACATTAACAAAAAATTCGATTGTACGCAAACTTGTTTACTACTGAATAATAACTTATTGGTGAATTCGAAACCTCTTTGTATGTTAAGTCAACTCCTTTACCATTATGCTCCTCTTCATGGATTTTATGTCATTGTATGTTACCATATATACATGTATATGTATATACATATGTATGTACATGTACATATATATACATATGTATTTATGGCCCTCAATGAAAAGCATGATTGTGAAAATCATGAAAAGCATTAGACACACACACACATACACACACATATTTTACAAGATGCATTCGATCACATAAAATGTTTTTCAAAATCACAAAAATGTATTTTCTTGCATCATGTATACATAATTACACTTATTGAGTATTAGCTCATTAGTTGTCTTGTGATGTAGGTAAATCATTGACATGTAAGGACTCAATGTGAAGTTGATGATGAAGCTAAAAGGAATAAAGCTTGCCAAATGTATATTGTGATTATAGTCTAAAAATAACTGGTTTAGACCTACTCTATCTTTAATGGTTTATGTATTTTTGTCAATTTAGAATGTGAATAAATAAATAGATGTTTTGAGATATTTATAAATTAATTTAATGGTTTGGCAGATTAGTTAAAGGGTTGGATAAAAGCAATTAATTTAATAGAATGCGATGTTTTATGCATTGAAAGGCAAAGACAAGTGTATGGTTTTCAAGAAAATGGCTAAACATGTCCAAAATCACATGCTTAATCATAGGCTTCAAAAGGGATATGTCTAGTGCTTTTCATGATTTTCATTGAGGGCTTTATATATATATTTGACGGGATGCACACGATCACTTAAAATGTTTTCCAAAGTCACAAAAATGTATTTCTTTGCATCATGCATACATATTTACACTTACCGAGCATTAACTCATTATTTATCTTGTGATGTAGGTAAATCATTGACATGTAAGGACTCGGTGTGAAGTTGATGATGAATCTGGAAGGAATAGAGCTTGGTAAATGTATATTGTAATTATAATCTAAAAATAATAGGTTTAGACCTATTCCATCTTTTTATGGTTTAGGTACTTTTGTCAATTTAGAACGTGAATAAATAAATAAATGTTTTGAGATTTTTATAAATTAATTTAATGATTTAGCAAGTTAGTTAAAGGGTTCAATAAAAGTAATTAATTTAATAAAATGAGATTTAGAGTTTAAGTTAATAAAATGCTTTAATTCACATAAAGGTTAAAAGTTAAATTGTTTTAATCGGTTTTTAATGCTTGAATAATTTAATGATCTACAAACCTAAATTAGCTTCCAAGGAGCTCAACATGACAAATATCTTCCAAAGATCTTAGATTGAGGTTTTAATTAAGGTAATTAATTGAATTTTAACCTATGAATTTCCTATTAACTTGGAAGTTTATAATACGAATCTTAGTACCTAGAGAAATTTATAACTTAATGAATGAATAATAAAATTAATCATTTACTAGGATACATATTTAATTGGTTTACTAAATTAACCAAGATTAAATTGATTAATTTATATTTAATCTGAATTTTTAGGAAAATATTTAGAGAAAATTTAAGGGGCAATTCATTATATTTTAAAACAATGTATTATTTTAAAATATTTAAACCGAGTTTTACATAAATAAGATTTTGAGTATATTTTGGAATAATATATTCATAAGTTTTATTGAAATGATTTTTTAGGTTATAATGACTATTTCCATTTAATGAATTTATTATGAAATAAATTATGGACTAGTTTTTATATTAATAGTGGACACGAATATTAAATTAAATAAGCTTTCGTAGTAAATATTAATAGTGTCTCGCATTCATTATAGTTGGAATATGAGGCATTGCTGGTAATACTCTCGACCAACTTGGGTTTCAAGTCGAGGATGTTATAGCTTCGATACTAGTAAGAACGACTTCGACATGATTCTTATGTAAATTTTTTGATAAGAGCACTTTTGGGTGCCAATTATCTCACAAGGTAAATGTCCAAATCCCATTACCAATTAATTAGAAACACTACCGGGTAGCATTCCTTAATTTCATTTGTAGCACTATCACTATTAATATACATTGATGTGCCTTGAACAACTTAAAGTGAGTTTGGTTGTAAACTACCATGATTTTTTTCCTAGCACAACTATTTGAACTCGGGACCATTAATCTTAAATTAATTCACAATAACAACGATATTACCTAGTGTAGAGAGAAAGATAATTATTGGTTTGGAAAAATTCTTCCACCATAAAAACCATCTCCTAAACACCTTCGGATCACCTTTCAACTAGATATGTCCAATCAAACCACAATCTTGCCTTATCTAGAGATGGTTACGAAACTCAAGAAGTATAATGTTGGCTTAACTCGATAGTAGAGTGCCACATTACTCAATGATGTAAACTTGTAGTTAGGTGTAAAAGGAAAAAATAGAAGTAGACTTGGTTTGTTAATTAGTTAGCTTTCTACTCGGTTAGTTAGTTAGTTAGTTTATTCTATCACTAAGCTGATTAGCTAGAATAGCTATAGTTAGCCTACTTAGTTATTGTAGTATAAATATCACTTTGTAATTCATTCTTTGCAAGTCAATGAAACAAGTAAAATTCATTTTTAACTTTTCTTCTCCAAAACTCAAATTCAATTTTAGTTGTTTCTCTTTCAAAGTTCATGTTCAATATGGTATTAGAGCATTAAAAGATCTAGAGTTTTAAGCTTAAGCTATGATCATCATCTATTTCTTACTTGATTTAATTTGTTGATTTCAATCTTAATTGAATCAATTTCATCAAATTCGTGGTAAGATCTTTTGTTTCACTTCTTTTTAGAATCTTGCTAGAATTCATCTTCATCAATGGCTTCAAGAGGAAGAATAGTTGATTCTTTATTTAATGTTATTCATCTTTCACCATTAGAAGATCTTTCTCTGCCTTGTTTCCTTCATCATTTTGATCATCATGGATCTGTCATAATTTCTCTTGAACTTATATCCGAGTAACTATGCTACATGGAGCATGTCATTTACGTTGGCTTTTTCAATTAGAAATAGGATTAGTTTTATGGATGGATCGATTAAGTCTCCTACTACTAATGATCTTTTGTATAATGCATGGACAAGATGCAATAATTTGATTATTGCATGGTTATTAAGATCAAGTTCACCAACAATTGTATTTACTATCTTTTATATTGACTCAACCTATAAGATTTAGAGACTTTGAGAAAGAGATTTTCATAGCCGGATGATGTAAGGATTTGTAACCTGCAGCTATCTTTATCACTAAAAAAAATTTGTAAATTAGCCATAAGAACTTCGTCACTAATTGTTACAAATTTGTCCCTATAGGACATTAGTAATGGAATTCCTATGAAAAAAATTTCATAACCAAAATTAGTGTCGTTAATCCTTATGATGAATTTAATAGTGCTCGTCACTATAGTAGCAATGAAAATTTCATCGCAACAAAATATTATCCCTCGTGAAATGACAATAGGAGAAGATTAAGAAGCGTTGCCAATCCATTGCAACATCCGTCACTATATAATGACCAACTAACCATCGCTGGAATTTGAAGCTAATATCCATCACTAATCCGTGGCTATTTTCATCGTAAGTAGTGTGTGATTTGCAATCGTAAGCGAGTGTGTAATTTGCAATATAAGCATATTGTGTCATTGTATTTTTGGATCGAATTTTACTTTTTGTATAACAATCCGTTGCTAATCTGTTGGTATTAAGTTGTTATTCCATCGTAATTCCATCATTGTTTCCATCAAAAATATATTTTATTTTCTTTAATTTAATTTTTTTAATGTTTTTAATTTAAAAAATTTGGATATTCACAATAGTAACATAATTAAAACAAACTTTATATTTTAAAAAATATTCATTAGAATGTCATAAAAAGATTAAAACATAAAAGGAAGGTAAATGTCACTACATATCATGTAATTGCCTCTCATCATGCTGGAGCTTGGTGGAAGGGATAATAGAATCTTAGAACTCGCTAGGAGGAAGAGTGTTGTCTTGAGACTCGATAGGAGGGACGATGGTGGCAAAGTGCTCACTAGGAGGGAGTGTGTCATCATCGGCTAGTGGAGGGGTCAATAGGCAAAGGAGTAGACCGTGCCATTCTCTCGAACATCAATGAGATTGAATACATTTTAGCCTCCATCCCTTAGATCTTTATCTGCTGCACATTATAATGTTGTTGAAATCTTATAACTTCTCCTCCAATGCCCTAATCATCTCGTCATATTGAGATGGAGGTTGTTTAATAGTATTGAGGTCGTGATCCTATAATGCTACGGAGGAGTAGGCGATGCTAACTAATTGGGATAAATAGTGGTCTTCCTTTGACTCGATTCCATAAAGCCTCTTTTTCTCCTCCCTTCCTACAACATCGAAGTATATACCATCCGTGTCGACCTATCGCTCCTCAATTCTAACCTTTTGCTGCTTCCTTCAAGATTCCTGTATCATCTCTTCCATACGCTCCTGCATAATAAAAATAAATATAATGTTACTATAAAATTAAAATAAATTGTTAGATTATATTTTCATATGTATAATATAACAATGAAACTAAACTTACCATTAAAGACTAGGCTCATAAATTGATAAAATTCCCATCTCTTTGCTTGTGAGTGACCCAAAATAACTCTAAATTTGTAAGTTGACGGTCCAATTTCACGACTGGAAAAAGTTAACACAAATAATATATGAGATGTAAATATTAATTTCTTAAACATTTTATAATATATGATTGGATTTACTAAGCGACGGATATGCTCGAAGCGAGATATGGACCCTCCTGTATGCCTGGATAGTTTGAACTAGGCCATCGGTCTCTAACATCTAGTTACTCGATGCTTGCTTGGGAACGTAATCGACGATCAAATGTGATAAAATCATTTATCTATGAATCCCACACCTTTCGCCTAATAAAAAAAAGGCTTTTGGTTATTTATACCATGCTTGTGCGGGAAGTCAAAGTAGTGCCTTTTAGTCAAAGCCTCCCAAGCATTTCTAGCTTGTGCCTCGATAATTGGTTCCTAGTAAAAAGAATTTTACATGAATAAAAAAAATTAATATTAGTTTGTTTCATGTTA